CATTATTTCTTTTCCTTTAATCCTGAAATAATTACAAATAAACTTAATATTTCGTTCTATTTCATAGAATGTTGAACCAGTTAGAAAAAAATACAAATACATATAGTTAGGTACTTAAAATGTATTTGCATAAGTAGATTTTAGTTCCGATTTTAAAGTTGTAAATAAAAATAAGGTATACTTATCTGAGAAAAATAATGCAATACTTAATATGAGAAGTATAGTGTACCATTCTGACCTTCATTTGTTTTCTTCATGTTTACTGTAGCGTTAAAGTAACTTTATACATTAATGAGCTACGTAAATTAAAGAAACTTCCTTAAATATTAACATTAAAAAGTGCATGTCTACAAATTATATAACAGTGTTGTCGTAATAATTGTGTTACATTTGGCATAATTTGTTTGTGGTGTTTACTATGTATCTAACTTTGATACTTTTCACTGAAAAATTCAATTAGTTTTCACACAAATGGAACTATATGTGAGTCTAGAAATAAGTATTACTTGCATTACCTGCATATTTGAATTATAGGCGCTATACTATACTTTTATTGTATATTTTATAATATTGTACTTCTTTGTGTTTCTGCGTACCTATGTAAAAGTAATGAACAATTTAAAGTGCTTGGCATATGAATTTAAAATTAATATTGGCAACAAATTTTTGTCTTAAAAATGTAATGTTTTTGCGATATTCCTGAAATTATTCGGCTATTTCTCATTGAGAGATACAAACATTTTATAAACTAAAAAGTTCATTGTCATATATTTAAAAGCTTATTAATTTTAACGTGATGAATACAAAATAAAAAATTATTCCCGATTTTCGAAATTTTAATTTTACTGTATTTTTTCAATAAATTTACTAAATTTCGCTTATGCTAAAATAAATGCGGTTATCAATATAGTTATTTTGAAAGTTCGAATGTGAACAATTTCTTGCAAATAAATAACCATACGATTTAAATATAAGTTTCAAGGGCATAGAGTAAATTTTCTCCCAGCATTATAGGATTTTATTCACATTTTTTTTTAAAATTATAGCAGAAATTGACGCGGTTAACTCGGAAAGAACCCCTTTTTTACATTTATTGTCATTTAATCATAGCATGTAATCCACCATTAAAACGCCATGTCCTAGTAATGTTTTCTATGTCTACTGAATTAATACGGATCGCGGTCGACATTTTTTATACATGCTGATGTCTTTCACAACTAATTAAAATTTAAATTTTTGCAGGTCACCAGTCACTGTAAAACCTAATAACGTTTAATACGATAAAGTAAACCTATCCTTGGACGTTGATATCAATAAATCCAAATTGCCAGCGAAGTGTTCACGATAATATTTATATAATATGTCATTTATAAGGGGTATAACACCAACCACATCTTGTCAAAATTGAAGAAGCGTTTTCCTTGTCCACACTTAAAAATATTTTATTACAAAAACATTAACACCTAAACCTCAATTTTTAAGAAAATGGACGTTAAGGTTTAAAAAATGTGAGGTTAGGTTTAGATAAACCTACTAGATAAAACAATATATTGAAATGGAATTTTCTGTGCACCGTACAGTAATAAAATTGCATTCGATGTAATAAAGTGGAATAGGCATGAGAAACACTCAGTACATTTCTCAAAAATTATGGCACGCTAAATATTTTCTAAACATCAATTTTATTTAAAACGAAACTGATTTCAATTGTTTGCCTTGCTTTTACCTTTTTGGTGTTGATTGGCAAGTTGTGGAAATAATTTAAATACGAGTAAATTTAAAATAAAATTATTTTAAAAAGTTTAAGTTGTTCAAAATGCCAGCCATGTGCTTCAGAAAGCTGTTTACACAATATTCTGATTTTATTCATGTATTGTGTACATTTCGTGTCAATATTTGTTTAGAAGTATTCAAAAATAGGTACATGTTTTTAAATTTTCAGCAGTATACAGTGTGGACCATTTTGGTGATGTATATATTAGTATAGAGCCGTTAAATATTATGTAAACTATCTTTCAATTAATGTTCTTGTGTTTCTTGCGATTCTTCCTAAAAGTTCCAGTTTTGAAAATGGTAGCCAAATGAATAAAACGCAAAATAATTGGCTTTCATTTACGATTTTGGACTGTTATACATAAACAGTGCATTCTAACCGAAGAGCTTGGGATACACAAATGTACTGGGAGAATATGCGAGGAGCCCATTTAACCCCATCATGTCAGAATGTAAATGTAAAGAATTTTTCTCAGTCGGACTAGAAGACGGAGATATGGCAAAATTTTAAAACGAGCGATTTTTACTTTACTTTTCACTAAAGTTCAAACGAAAAAATTCTTGGGATTATATCAAATTAGTTTCACTCTATATATAAGAAAAATGACGCCAATTGCAAAACATGTCTAGTTTTAAAAAAATAATAATACTAATAATTTCTGCTTGTCTGAATACTAAATAAAAACAAATATACTGGTCAATTTTTTATTTAGAAAAAAATTAAGTTGTTTGTTTTAATCGGCTAAAATGATATCTAACATTTAAAAATACACAGTATGTCCCGTTTTTCAGGTTAACACCTCTGAAAATGTGCGAAGGCTGTGGACCATCCGTAAGCCAATTTTTTGCAAATAGTACCCTGAAGGGGTGTTATATTTTAGTAATCATTTTAATGATGCGACAAAAGCATGACCGACTACGATTTTTAAAGTCATTTTTTCAGAAAGTGGTATTAGGCATTTTTGGATCAAAAATAATATTACCAAGCTATTCAACACCCATCAAAATACCCATATACCAAATTTGATCGACAGATGTCTATTGAATGTTTTTTTATGGGGTGCCAAACTCGGACAACTAAAAATTATAATAAGCCGGTCAAAGATTGCTATGAAAGTGAAAACAAGTACAAAATATTTTATTAAAGTTATTAAACAAAAAATTGCAAAACAATCTAAATTAAATTTTAGTTTTCTCCTTCTAATCGAACACATTTTTCCAATCATCTTAAATTTAAAAATACTTTACATAGCATGGCAGTCTTTGACATGCTTATTATAATTTTTAGTTGTCTGATTTTTCAAAGTTTGTCACCCTATAAAAAAACACTCAGCAGACATTTGTCAATCAAATTTGGTATATGGATATTTTGATGGGTGTTAAATAGCCTGGTAATATTATCTTTTTGATAAAAAATATGCCTAATACCACTTTCTGGAAAAACGACCATTTTAAAAAATCGTAGTATGCCAGGCTTTTGTCACATCAATAAAATGAGTAGTAAAATATAACCTCCCTTCAGGGTACTGTTTGTAAAAAATTGGTTTGCGAAAAGTCCACAGCCTTTTCACATTTCCAGAGGTGTTAACCTGAAAAACTGGACACACTGTATATACATACATATATGGGAATTTAGTGGCCACATTCTAATAATTTTCAAATATTGTGACTAAATTTAGATTTCCATGCGCAAATAAAGTCAGTATTAAAAAAATATATAAAAATGTCAGTTTTCCGTCGACAATTTCAGAACGTCATAAAATTCCGCAGCGTAACATAATTTGACCGATACAAGATTTTCTATCTCTTCAAATAAGGTTCCAACGATGCAACTCGGAAAACAGGGCCGGTATGTACCCAATCTAAAATGAAATACTTCGCGGACAGCATTTTTTTACAATTAAAAGCCCTCAAATTTTTCTCAATTCCGAAAAAACTTGCAAATGTTCTGGCAAATCTATGACTAAGTTGCGTCTTTACCATGTTTGAAATTTGTCTTCTACTGTTGATTAATCGACTAAAAACTGTTTCACATCTGATTTTTGAACCTTTAGAAATTGACCTAGAAAAAAGTTACTATTTTTTTGCTTATTTTGGCCATAGTTGGCACTCTATAAACTTTGTTATAACGTTGGTACAGATACATACCCAGCATGTAAAATTACCGAGGTAATAATTTATACTCTATTTGAGGTATTTTCGTATTTTCTGAATTAAAATTGTAGTTATTCCAGAGAAAAGAGTGTCAGTATTAATCTCTTATAGCTGTTTTACATTGACAATTTATTGATAAATAAATTGACGAAGTTCTTCATTAATTAATTCACGAATTTATTGGTAAACCGTGTGGTTTTACACTGCTACAGACATTGTCAAGTTTTTTGACGTATGAATCAGTTCTACCAATGAATAAAAGAAGCAAATAAATTTCAAAAATGTCACCTTTCCACTCATAATTATAGTGATACTACAGCGGTACCGTTTTGACACATATTATATAAATATTAGTTTTTGTAAGTAACAAATCAGTAAAAACAATGCAATACTAGTACGACGCCACACAATTATTTACATATTCCAATAACATAACCTCATTACTGATCTGAGGCTGGAAATTTGTTGGGTTGGTACTTCCGAACTTCACGAAGAAATTGACGAAAATTAGAATATGCTCTAATTCGTCAAGAACTTGATGAATAAATTCATGAAGTTATTTGACAGCATTACACTTGTCCAATTTCTTGATGAAGTGACTTCATGAATTAATTGATCAATAAATTGTCAAAGTAAAACAGCTATTAGGAGTATGAATTAAATATAAAAACATTAAAAACTGAGGAATCTTTACAAATTCAGTAATAATATTCAAATAGTAAATAATTTTAGTTGCGGAAACGTATAGCGCAAAATAAAGTTTGGCCTTGGTATTAAAAAATGCACTGTAGTCCTTAACTATAGGTACATGTAGTATTGGATTTTTTAAATTAAATTCTCGAAGAATTAAAAGTAAACTCAATTCTCCATGGACACTTTTTAGCCTTGAAAATCAATATTAAAACATGGATTTTAAATCCAGAATGCAAAAGATCACTTATATAATAACAATTACAAAAAGTAATTAATGTCGCAGTGTTTGTTCAAGCATAAAATGTGTTTAAAACAAACATCATTTAATTTTACACAACATTTTGCCACCTTAATCGATGCCTAACCCGTATAAACTTTACCCCGTTACTTTTCATCAAAATCGTCGCACTACCGGAAACGGCGAAACGGCCCGCACCCGCACATTTCACGGATTATCTCATTTTCGAGTCCATTTTCACCCGTTGTCGACTCGGTACAGTTACACCATCAGACGCCTCATGTTCCGGCACTTCGTACGCACTTTGCCAACTGCACTACTTAATGCATTTTTACCAGCTACGCTACTATTTCTAGTATCCTACTGAAGCGCGGAGCATGCCATTGAGAATTGCACACGGTGTGGCAGGATAGGACGCCCAGCAGGAGCTCGGACTGCGCTGTTTACTTACTATCACCGCGGGAAGCACTAGTTCAGTTGAAAGTAATGTTTTATGAATTAATATCACAATCGTTTCTTAACCTCTCGGCGTTTTACCCTCTTTGCGTTGGTTTTGATTTTGTAGGCCATTTGAAAGTCATTTTGATTGTTGTCTCGGCCTGGCAGAAATGAATGATTTAATTGTTTCGCGGTACGCAAGAAGCTTATGTCGGCATGCATATCAATCTGGAAAACTTGGAGTTATCAGAGAATTTCATAGATCTGGAAATGTCAGGATAATATCAGGGAATTTCTCGGATTTTCATCGAATTTGTTTTTAAATTTCGATTGTATTTATTTACAAGGCGTCTATCACGACCTTAGGGTTCCCAACCGTTCCGAATTTCAGTGAACGTGAACCATTTGAGATAATTTTTCATTTTTCATTTTTCAATTTTTCATGTGTCCTGCGTCTTCCCAAAATATTTTTGCACAAACTGGCAATTACGTTGTAAAAATACACCCAGATTTTCGATCTATAGATGACGTTTGTATGTTTGCATTAAAAATATAAACATAAACGCAAAATAAAAAATTTGTATTGTAATAATATATAACTAGCAAATTTTTGCATTCTCGTTTAATTTGTCATGTACACTTTAATATTTACATTTATAAATTTTTAGCTGATCTTACTGAACCCAAATAACATACAGGGTGTCCTCAGTTCAGGTTGTCTATACCTGAAATGGATACAAAATTTCAGTTGTCAATAAAAAATCATTCTTCATAAAAATTTTTGCTTGTCTAGAAGCCCTTGGCAAGATAGTCATTTGTTCAATTTAATGTACAGGGTGTTCAAAAATTTGGAAAAGGTAAAAACAGTAAAGAGTAAAGTACCTTAAATCTTAACGCTACATGAAAAAGTAATGGGGAAAAGTTGCTTGGAATTACATTTTATGTTTAAATACGAAGCATGGCCTTCTAGTTAATACTCGACATTCTGGGATGTTCTAGGACTCTACTTATCTTTTAATACTTTCGGAGAAGCCATTCTATTTAAAAATATTGCTTTACTGAAAAACAGATACACATGTTTGCATATTAATAATTTATTTTTATACAGGGGGATCAAAAACCTCAAAAACATTAATCCAACATTTATTTTGAGAACATAGCAGAATCAGTATGTACGCGCCATTACAAAACTATTCTACATGAAGTCCGCTAAGTTCAACACCTCTCCAATCTTTTTCTTAATGCAGCGTAGGCCGAATGTATCATTTCTTCATTTACTTGGGCAATAGCTTCAATTATCCTGCTTTTCAAGAAATCAACATTGTGTTGCACTGGTTCCCTGTACACTCTCTCTTTCAAGAAGCCGCAAAGGAAATAATCAAAATACCAATAATTTGTAGAAGGCAATTGTTATCAATAATTGTTTGACATTAGTTGTGACATTAGGTGTTGATATTTAATTTTATTCAAATAATGCTTACTTTACAGCATCGCATTTATCTTGTTAAATGTTACGGTATCGGTAACATTTCTTATAGCCAAGCAACTGAATTGTTTCATGAAAAATATCCAGATGTTAAAGTTACCCGCCAAAATCTGAGAAAACTAATTCGAAAATTTGATTTAACTGGTGATGTAAAAAACGTAAAAAGGTCAAAAAAAAAAGAGACACGATGACGATGATGCAGCCACAATACTAGTTTTGAATTCGGTAGAAGAACACCCGAGACTGTCACTAAAGAAGATATCTAAACAAATCGATGTTAGCAAGACACATATTCAGAGGATTTTGGTAGAAAATAAGTTTAAGGCTTTCAAACCAAACTCTACAAGTTGGTGATGATGCACATAGTTTGGAGTTCTGTTTAGACATAGGAGAAAGGATTGTGGTAGATAGACTTTTCACAAAAATATAATTTTAATCGATGATTCTACCAATGGAGTGGTATTGTCGCAAAATTGTCGTTTTTTGTCGCAAGAAAATCCTTCCTTTACAGTTACTTCAAGAAGTCAAAGATTCAAAAAAGTAAATGTTTGGTGCGCGATTACTTTCAACCGAATAATTGGGCCATACTTTTTTTAAGCAAATTTAAATCAATATACGTACCTGGAGATGCTAGACACGTTTTTCTGGCCAGAATTAGAAGAAAAACATTTGAAATATAGACAAAAAGCATATTTCTAACAAGACGGATGTCCCACTCATTCAACAATTATTTCTAGTCCGCAATTGGCTTAACAGAAAACTTCGACAGAAGTGGATAGGAAGATATGGTCATCTTTGTTGGCCAGCAAGGTCCCCTGACTTGTCGCCGCTTGATTAATTCCTTTGGGGCTTCTTGAAAGAAAGAGTGTACAGAGAACCAGTGCAACACAATGTTGATTTCTTGAAAAGCAGGATAATTGAAGCTGTTGCCCAAGTAAATGAAGAAATTATACATTCGACCTACGATGCATTTAGAAAAAGATTGGAAAGGTGTGTTGAACTGAACTACATATTGATTCTGCAGTGTTCTCAAAATAAATGTTGGATTAATGTTTTTGAGGTTTTTGATCCCCCTGGATAAAAATTAAATTATTAATATGCAAACATGTGTATCTGTTTTTCAATAAAGCAATATTTTTAAATAGCATGGCTTCTCCGAAAGTATTAAAAAATAAGTAGAGTCCTAGAATATCCCAGAATGTCGAGTATTAACTAGAAGGCCATGCTTTCATATTTAAACATAAAATTTAATTCCAAGCAACTTTTCCCCATTACTTTTTCACGTAGCGTTAAGATTTAAGGTAGTTTACTTTTTATTGTTTTACCTTTTCCAAATTTTTGAACACCCTGTACATTAAATTGAACAAATGACTATCTTGCCAAGGGCTTCTAGACAAGCAAAATTTTTTATGTAGAATGATTTTTTTGACAATTGAAATTTTGTATCCATTTCAGGTATAGGCAACCCGAACTGGGAACACCCTGTATTTTTATTTTATTTATATTTTTTAGAGTTTGTCTATTTTGGAAAATAAGTTACAAATAATGAAAAATATATTTCCTAAGCATTCACGTTTTTTTGCATTAAAAAATATACAGTTTTTCACAGAACAAATAAAAAATGTTATCTTGATTGTTTGCCTTTGCTCCAAATTTTTAACTACTGTGTGCTGAAAATAAAAAATTAAAAGTTGGCAACCCTACCTGTGTCGTATTATGTTTGTTGGTTGAATGTGATTAAAGATTAGTTATTACTATTAATTCCCATTTGCATTTTTTTATCCTTATTGAATCAAATTTAGTAATTATTGCACAACAGCAATCTTGTTAGAAATGAACTTTGAGTATATAAAAAGCTTAAATGCGCAAGTAATTAATCATTTAATGATTGTTAAGCTTTCTTTAAATATCATGTTTTTTTATATTATGTTATTATGCATAATGTTAATTTGTTTTTAAATAAAATCCAAAGTTACTTTACTTTTCAATAAATTTCAAACGAAAAAATTCTTGTAATTCTTGTGACAATCTAATTTAATTCACTCTGTATATAGGTGTAATGACTGCTTAAAAGTTGGCACCAGATGCAAGACATCTTTAGGATTAAAAAACTATATTCTAATAATTCCTGTTCCTTTGAATACTAAATAAGAGGAAATATACTGCTTATACGATTTTTTATTTCGATGAAAATGACGTTTTAATTGGCCGAATGATACTTAAAATTAAAAAAATATATATGAGGTTTTATTGGCCAAATTCTATTTTTGTTTTTTAGTTGTAATGGCGTAATAATGTAGCAAAAGAAATAATATTTTCAATACAGTTTACAGTTCTACTTTTTTTTGGTAATTATGAATTTGTAATAAATTAGTTTTCTGAGCTTTAAAAAAGAGGTTATAACTATTAAGATAGCTCAGAATATTATTTAAAGCGTCAGAACACCTTCGCATCAAAACGTCATGATTCTTGTCAGAAATTACCATGGCTACGTTATCCGCGTAGACAGTAAGATGACACATCTTTGACGCAGCATTAATTTTAATAATATATAAGATAAATAGTACTGGGCCCAGCATAGATCCTTGTGGGACTCCAATATCAACATTTAAAGTTCTTGATTTGATCAATGAATAGGAAATGAGTTTTGGGAAATTTTCTTGTGGTGTTGAAGTAGGTATATAAAAACGATTAGTTACGGTGTAAATATGCACTAATTCCTTGGCACTCTTGACTTTATAAATTTTCAAGGGCAGTAAATTAACCAAAACATTGTACAAATAGAAAGCAAATACATATATGACATACAGATGTCGTTGTAATGAGAGAGCAGAAATTCAAAATCCGACAGATATACAGAATATTCAATTAAAAAAAAAACAAATATGGTTATTAACTCTGAAATACAATAATGAATTGTTTTTTAAGCATTCCTTTGAAATCGTTTTTTTTTTTCTGGTCAGGATACTAAATCTGTAACGTTGCCATTTGAACCACCCTTAATGTATGAAAACCTTAAAGGTTGAAAGCAAAACCTTTTATAAAACCTTGAACAATAGATACATTATAAAGGGCTAATTTTAGAAGCGCTGAGTTTTACTTTCAAATAATATATCCAACATTGTATCTAATGAAAACTCGCATGTTGTAACAATGTTACCGTACTAGAAACGGACTACATTTCATTACATCATACATCTATTGTTCCACCTGTTTTCAGTTCCCGTCCTAGTTAAGAGTTGACCAAACCCTCCCACAGGTACTGTGCAATATTCGTCAGGTGTAATCGACTGAAAAAAACGTGCTTAATTGTTCAACATGTCTCATGGCTTGTGATGCAATTAGCTTTGTTTCGCAGACGGCTATTGTCGTCTGCGGTCTTGGCAAATCTGAAAAGCGTGTGCATATTAATCGCACTTCTTCAGTTCGCTCCTAATGTACGACAGTATCTCAGAAAT